TAAGACCGTTGGCAAGCCGCAGTTGAGTCTATTTAGAAACGGTTTAAAATCAGATTGAAAACATGGCATCTTCGTTTAGAAAACTCTTTAAGCCAAAAAGCGCATCAACCTCAGCGTCATATTCAACAATTAATTGAAGAGAAATTATGTAAAAAAATACGACCTTTAATCAAGGAATATGAAAAAATCAATTACCGCATATTAATCCTGAAAATATATATATCAAATAGGAACTTTTGATTTCAGAACAGCTTATTCAATAAAAGAATATGAACAAACCTTATCTCTCCAAAATGAATTCGAAGAAATCAAACTATTATCTTCTCTAGCTTTGGATAAATATAAGCAAAAAGGATTTAATTATATTCATTTGGACTAATTCAAATAGCCACAAAACTCTTATCAAGAACATGAATTGATTCACATATCTTAATGTTATTAAGAGTTAAAACTTTATTAAAATTTGAGGACTCACTCATCGGTCCTCAGAGCAGTCCAATCAAACTTATGCCCCTAATTTCCAAGTTAGCCTACATGACCCAACTATACTCAATACTTTAACACTAAATATTCATTTAGAAGAAATTAACTTCCAAAATGAAAGACGTGGATACTTATTACTCTATCAAGTATATTTTAAACAATCATTATGCGAATTTAATCGAAGATGTCTATTGCAAGATGATAAAGGAGAAACAACAATTTAAGCTGTTCATAGTAAAGATACTCTAACAGTTACTTATACACCTAAACAATTAAATTGGGATGAAATAACCATTCCAGATCAGTGGAAAATTGAAATTACTCAACCACGTAGAAACTTTGAACAAAGAAATATATCAAAAATATTTGAACGAAAAGATGGAAAAATATTATTACAATTTGGATCTTTCAAAGAACCATTACCACCCAGGATAAGTCCTTATCATTCAAGAGCTTCTTTTTTTCTGAATATCGCACTGGTCAATCTAGTACAAATTCAGAAACCGAAAGCGTTAAACGAAATAGCGATAGTTCAATAAATGTAATAGGTAACATAAGCGACTCTTCTGAAGCCCACAAACAAAACAAAGCCCAATAACATGATCGCCTTCTATTAATGAAACACAGAGTAGCGAGAGATGGACAAATGTCAACTTCTTCTACTTCTATTTGTTGACTTGGCTCTCCCAAAAGGGAGAGAATTATACTTTATATATATATATATATATATATATATATATATATATATATATAGAGAGAGAGAGAGAGAGAGAGAGAGAGAGAGAGAGAGAGAGATTGTAAAAAGGAAGGGAACAAGTTTGGGAGTCCAATTACTAGATTCGGACTCTTACGCTCCTGCGGATTTTTGTTTCATTTCTAAATATAATTTAAATTTACATCAACAACCATTAAATTTAGAATAATTTTATACCTAATTTTAGTAATTTAATTTTAGAATAAATTTTCGTATATTTTTACAAATTTTGAGAAAAGATATGGGAAGAAATATATTTAAATATTTGTTNTCCAATTACTAGATTCGGACTCTTACGCTCCTGCGGATTTTTGTTTCATTTCTAAATATAATTTAAATTTACATCAACAACCATTAAATTTAGAATAATTTTATACCTAATTTTAGTAATTTAATTTTAGAATAAATTTTCGTATATTTTTACAAATTTTGAGAAAAGATATGGGAAGAAATATATTTAAATATTTGTTTGTAGTTTTCAAAAATCCAGAATATAAAATTTCTTTTTTAATTTTATTAGAAATTCTGAACTAATATGAAACTATGTAAGCAAATTTATTATATGTTTTATTTTATAAAATATAACTAGGTGATTCTTCCATGTTCATGCACAAACAAAACATCTACAAAATAATTAAATTATAAGAATTAGTAAATATTTAATTTTGTTTGTTTGTAATCCTTAAATTATTTGTAATTTATATGTACGATAATAAATTAAAATTATAATAAGTATCATTATGCTCCCATTATAATTAGATTGGTGATTTGAAGTATAATATTTTGTATTGGTTAAGTAATTATTTTTGGTATGTCGAGTTGTATCTTTTCTTTTTATATTTTATAAATATTTAATATTATTATTTCTTTACTTTTACAAAAAAACTAAAAATATAATTAAATTCTTGTAAGAAATAAATAACAATAATTATCACTAATGGAAATTAGATTTAACTTTTAGCTTTAAAATTAATATAATATCTACTTCATAATAAGTATCATTATGCTCCCATTATAATTAATTAATGTATCTTTTCTTTTTATATTTTATAAATATTTAATATTATTATTTCTTTACTTTTACAAAAAAAAAACTAAAAATATATTTAAATTCTTGTAAGAAATAAATAACAATAATTATCACTAATGGAAATTAGATTTAATTTTTAGCTTTAAAATAAATATAATATCTACTTCATAATAATTACCTATGTAATTAAATTCTGTGAAAATTTCATATTAGATGATAACTTTAGTTAATAAATTATTTTCTTATTGTTCAATTAATCAAAAATATCTTTATATTATTCTGTTATATATTAGAAAAAGTCTAAATTACGTAGTTTTAAAGTTTTTATGAAGTTTTGATTCTTATGTATATAAGTCTATATATATTTTAAAAATTTATTGATATTTCCTTTTTACATATGTTTTTTTGAGAAAATATATTGACTAATGAAATTAAACTTCTTTTATATATCAAAACTATATATATTTATAATTATTAATTAATACAAGAATTACTAATTAAAAATCTATAATCATCAATTATTATTTCTATTATCATTTGAATTTTTTACTTATTAAAATATTTTTTCAGAACTCAATATATATAAGAATTATGTTTTTATTTTAAAAGATATGTTTAGATTTTGGGAAATTTGCCAAATATGACTGAAAATTTGATTTTAAATGCAAAAGTATAATCAAATATCAATCAAATTCAAAACTAACCCAAAATATTTATAAAATTACAACTAGTCCCTTATGAACAAACAAAAAATCCAAATTTATTTTTACGATTATAACCCCGAATGTCTTCTGAGTGTTCTGAGATATTGTAGGTTTTTCGGAAGACATCTAGAGAACTCTTCTCATATAGTTGATCTTGAAAATAATTTATAAATTTTATTAAATAAATATTTTGATAGGAGAAAAATTGAAATTATGTAATTATAAACAGTTGTAAGTGATATAAATTTAGATATAATAAAAATTGAATTGTTTTCAACATATATAAGTGAAAGTGGTGAGTCATGATATTCTTTGGTTTAGGGTTTGACAATATATGTTTTAGTATTGTATGTATTCTTAGGGTTAGATTTTGGAAGATTAACATTTTTTGAAAAATTAAATTTGATCTATATGTGTGTTAGTTTTTTTGTATATTAAACACTTTTTATATTTAGGGTCTAGACGACTTCCAGGAAGTCCCCTAGCGGTTAGGATTACTGGTTAGAAGACTTCTCTGAAAATCTTCTAACTCCCTCTAAAAGTATTTTAGTTTTCCGTTTAAAATATTGAGTCTTCTATACAAATAGTAAGTCTTCTAGAAGTTTTTAAAGTAAATCTTCTAGACTTTCAAGTAAGTCTTCTAGGAGGTCTTCTATTATAATTAAGACTTACTTGAAAGTCTTGAATCAAAAATATTTGACCTTATTAGAATTTTTGTCTCCCTATATAAAGAAAATTTACACATTCGCTCTCTTCATTTCAAATGGCTGCAACAAAAATGTAATGTTCATCATTCTAAAACACTTCAATCTCTCTCTGATGTCTTTGAACTTAAAACACCAAACTTTATATCAATTTTTTTTTATTTCATGTCTTTTCACTGATTTATTTTGTATTTGCTGGGTTTTCATTACAAGGTTCTCATTTTCCATTTCTTTAAATGTATATCTATAAATCATATTAACNGCTGCAACAAAAATGTAATGTTCATCATTCTAAAACACTTCAATCTCTCTCTGATGTCTTTGAACTTAAAACACCAAACTTTATATCAATTTTTTTTTATTTCATGTCTTTTCACTGATTTATTTTGTATTTGCTGGGTTTTCATTACAAGGTTCTCATTTTCCATTTCTTTAAATGTATATCTATAAATCATATTAACTTCTTGTTGCTTAAAAATCTTTTGGTTATTTTAAGCTTTTTTTTTTTGGTCAGATTTTTAAGCTCTTACCTTATTTTTAAAGTTTTGTATGTTTTTGAAATCATTTGAATGCTTTTGGATATGCATGTTTTTCAGATCTGACACAAACTTAGGAGACTTCCAGGAAGTCTTACCATAAGTCTGTTAACAATTAATGCAGTAGAAGACTGCATGTAAGTCTTCTGGAAGACTTCTGGTATATGAGTTCTAACATTTAATGCACACTACAAGAAATGTGAGTATTAATAGCATCAGATTATAGCGTTTATGACAGTTCTGCTATTATATACTAACACCGACTTTTTTAATAGCGTTTATAAATTTCAAACGCTATGTTTGGTATCGCGGGAAAATAAAAAAATTTAGCGCGTTAATTTACTAAGTGTTAGACGCCTTATTATTTCAGATCCAAAATTAAACGCTATTTTATCGTAAATGTTAAATATCCCAAATTTTAATCAAAAATACTTTAATCAATCTTAAACCAGGCTTGATACACAAAATAGTTTAGTTTTCTTTTTTTTCTTCTTCATACAAAGAAACCAGAGCAAGTCTCAGATTCAATCGGAACAATAGCTTCCTCAAATTCTCAGATTTGATCTCTCTCCACCGTCTATTGAAGCTTCGCCACCACACTCCTTTTGACACCGACACTCTTTACCACCACCACCACCACCAGCTCGTCACCACCATGGCCATCTCTCTCATCCGCCATCTCTCTCTCTCTGATTATGTTTTGATTGTGGGTCGTGAGCAACTGGATTAGTGTTCAGATTAAGGTTCCCATGGTCGCTCCTGCTCCTCATATGGTTTCTGCGGTTGGAGATGGCGGCTTTGATGAAGCGGCGGAGAAGGATTCGGCGCAGAAGAAACATGTACCACAAGAGAGGCTTGCGGGCAATAAAGGCTAAAAACGGTGGCGTTTTCCCCCGTCACGACGCTAAATCCAAGGTCGCAGCTCTCGTTGAGAAGCCCACCAAGTTTTACCCGGCTGAAGACGTTAAGAAGCCTCTCGCCAACAGATGCAAGCTCAAGTAAAAATTCATATTCTTTGATTGGTGTTTTTAATTAATTTCAAACTAAAATGTAGTTGCTTGGATGGTTTCAACAGGTTATGAGTTTAGAATAGATTTTTTGGGAATATTAGATATGGCTTGGATTATTTGTATCTAGTGTTTGTTGAAATGTAGAGATTGCAAAGTTTGATACTTTATGGTGATCTTATGTGTGTGTGCTTGCAGAGCAAGCATTACTCCAGGAACTGTGTTGATTATTCTTGCTGGTAGATTTAAGGGCAAGAGAGTTGTCTTCCTCAAGCAACTTTCTTCTGGTCTACTCTTGGTGACTTGTGTGTTCTTGTTTATCTCTGCTCTCGTAGTGCTTAGTTTTGCTCAGTTTTGTAATCTTTTCTCTTATATTCGGGTGGGTTATGTGACTGAAGCGCCAGCTAAACACTTAGACTCAGTTTCTGTTAATTTAATCTATCTAGATTATATATATTGTTATAAAAATTTAATATGGAGTAGTGTTCTAACTTCTAACCTTTTAAAACTTGAGCTTCATATATCATACCCTAAACCCTAAACCTTTCAGACCCTAAACCTTTCAAACCCTAATCCCCAAAATTCAACCCCAAACTTTAATATATACCTACAATATATAGAATGTTTTAAACTTAAATTATATATTTCTTTAAATTCTATAACTATATAGTTCATAATTTTCAAATACAAAACTATAAATCTAATAGCACAAACCACATACTCGTAACACCAAACCCTATATCATAAACACTAATCCTAACCAAAGAAGTTTTCTGATTGTGAGCATGTTAAATGAAAAAAAACAAGATATAAAGTTTCATTGTCTGATTGTGATTATTCTTGACTTTGTATGTTATAAAACTCATCGTTGAGTTTGTGTTGAGTTTGTTAGTTGTCTTTTGTTCCAAACTCTGTTTTTAAACACTTAAAACTAATGTTCAGATAAATTATAAATAAAAGCATAATTCTATACCCTAAACTCTATTTCATAAACCATAATTTCAATTGACATACCCCAAACATTAATAACAAATTTTAAATTTAAATCAAAAGTTAAATTCGTAAACTTTATTGATGTTAGTGTAGGATTATATGTAAAATGTATGTTTTATGAATTTAATGCAATGTTTATTTTGGTTATACTAATAACAAGTTAAAAAAAAAAACTCTTTTTATCTCAAGATCTAAACCCTAAACATGCCCTAAACCTAAACCCTAATATTTTTCACCTCAGGATATATAAATGTAAAACCAAAGGATGAAAAATGACAATTAAAGTTTTGTTATAATATATATATATATATATATATATATATATATATATATATATATATATATGTATATAAATATAATAGTTTAGGGGTTTATATATCTTGTGTGGTATTACTATATGGAGTTTGGTGTACTTAAAACCCTAAACCCCAAAAATTAACTCCAAACCTTATATCATACTTCAAACTTTAAACTAAACTCTAAAATTTATTTTTTTCAAAATTCACTCTTAATATCCAAACTTCAAACACCATAAACATTACCCTAAACTCTAACCCCTAAACCACATATCTCATTTTAACATATATCATAAAACATTAGATCTTAACTTTTAAATGAATTATATTTCTGCAAATAAATTAAAATTTCAAATACAAATTTAGATTTCAAAATTTAAATTATGATTCCAAATTACTTAAAGC